ACTCATCCAAGTCTCTGACATGGCGCAAAGGCCTTCACCTACTTGAGGCATTGCTTCCCAGGAGGTGTTTTTCAGTATGTGATTTTGCAGGGAGCTGGAATTGAATCAGGAGGGGAGCAGCACTCAAATGGTAATTTCTAGTGAATCTTGGCTAGATCTTATCTCTTCCACAAGCAGACCCCAGGGTTTTCCTGAAGATAACTGTGTCAAATAAGGAAAATCTGAGAAGGCAAATGCTTTACAATGTGTTTCTCTCACATGCCTGATGTCTCATAGGTAAAGGAAGTGAAATGGTGAAATCCAAGGTCTTGTGAAGGGATGGATACAGGGAATGGTGTTATTTGAAATCATTACTGAAAAAGTATACATTATATATATGTATATTTGTTCCAATGCAATTTTGGCCAAAAATGTGATGCTGTAAGTTGCATTCTTTCTATAGACTTTCAGGTCTAAAAATACAAGAAGTGTTCTAGTGTACACACATATATATGGAATCCTATATGGTATTTTTGAAATCATAGAAAAAGAATGAATTCAAAATGACTTTCTCTAATGTAAATTTTAGTGACAACATAATGTTTATCTCTTTGATAACCTCATTTATTTGGATAATCGCCCTTAAAGTTTTAATTTTTTTTACTATTATCTCATTATTTTACAAAATTTGTAGGCAGTGCTTTCTTAATTATTCCTCAGCTTGTAGTCAGTTTTCATTTTAGGAAATCTATAATTGTTTATTAATCAAAAAGGAAAATAAACATAACTTTGTTCTCAGAGAATATCCACAAATAAGATGAATGACAAATGTGTCATGATTATGAAACATTACATTCATCTAAGATAGGGCAGTTTGGTCTCTGTTCTTTCTGTTGCCATGACAAAATATATATTACATGTTTGAGTTGAACCTCAGAGCAAAATATCCTAAATCTTTTGGTTCATGATGTCCCAGTCTTTATCGTCACATACATGACATAGTGGTCAACATTTTAGTGCTACCTTGAAAATAAATACTTAGAATTCTACAAAGGTAAAAATTGCCTAGTACTAACACACATATCCGTTAAATTCATTTCTGAATTTTTAGAGTAATGCAGTCCTTAATAGTTTTGAGGAGCTGAACTTGATTCAGGTATAGGATCCAAAATGTGGGGAAAAGAATCTAGTGCAGGTTATTTTGTTTTTGTAATATTTATTTATTGATTTGAAAAGAAGAGTTATAGAGATTGGGAGAGACAGGGAGAGAAAAAGAGATATCTTTCTGCTCCATTTCCCAAATGGCCACAGTGGCTGGGACTGGGCCAGGCTAAACCAAGAGCCTGGGACTCCGTCTTGGTCACCCATATTAGGGGATGGGGCCCAAATACTCAGGCCATCTTTCAGTACTCTTTCAGACGTATTAGCAATGGAGCTGGGTTGCAATAGAGAGGCAGGAGTCAAATTGTATGCTCACAAAGGATGACAGGATTGCAGATGGAGGCTTAACCTGCTACATCACATTGCAGATGCCTACTTCAGTTTCTTAAATCTTTATGCATTTCTCTCAATTAGTCACAAATGCAGATTGTAGTGCAGACTTCCCCAAGTACTGTTTTTAGGCAAATAATTCCATTGTTTTCCTTTAATTTGATGTTATTTCAGTTCTTCAAATGTTCATCAGTAGAATAATCATAGACAAAGCCAAAAGCTATTTTCTATTGTCTGTCTTACCTCAATGTTCTTATTTAAAAATATTTATGAGCTTGATAGGGAAAGAAGTTAAAGGACAGAAAGAGAGAGAGAGAGAGAGTGAGAGAGAGAGAGAGAGCTCCCATGCATTTATTCATTCCCTAAATAACCATACCAAGCAGAGGTGAGCAGGATTGAATCCAGGAGTTAGGAATGGAGTCTATGCCTGCCTCGTTGGTGGCAGCACTACTGCTTCCCCAGTTCTGCATTAGCTGAGAGCCGGAAACTAGAACTGGCACTGGAAATCCAAGTTGGGCACTCTGAAGTAGAACTAGGGTTTCTTAGCTGGCATCATAAACACTAAACTAAATGCTTGCCCTCTCTTTAAAATATTTGTCCTCTGCCATATTTGAAGTGATATGGATGATGTTTTCCTGGAAATTCTTCTGTGTTCATTCTCATTAAGGCTTCACTGATAGGATCTTGTCTTTTTCCCTAAATACGTCTAAATTCTTCACTTTAACATTGCTCACTCAAAGTTAATATTATCCCCTTTCAGTCTGTTATGTAATTCCTCTGGACAGATGTAGCCCTTTTGATCTGAACTCCTGTTTCCCTCGGCTTGGGCATTTTCACTGCTTTCAGACAATAGTTTGACTCCCTGTTTAATGCTTCTTATGTGGTTGTCCAAATGCTCAAGTCTAAAATGAAACCACATCCTTCCTTCTTCCTTCATACCTGTATACAACATACACAGCTTTTAGTGTTTGTTTTGTGACAGAGTTCATATGTTGACCAGAGGTGTTCTATTACAGGTGATGATAGGATTTGAAGACCTGGCTGTGTATTTCACCTGGAAAGAATGGCAGAACATGAACAATGCTCAAAAAATCTTGTACAGGGATGTGATGCTGGAGACCTACAGCATCCTGTTCTCCTTGGGTGAGTGACACCCATCACATTCCCAATGGTAACATTTTCTGCTATTTGACAAATAAGTAAACACTTTATAAAGTATAATGTTTGGAAGGTGTAGAATTTGAGAACATGAATAATCTGAATTTCTAACATCCAGGAAGGATTCAAATTGGTACCTTTGTTGCAGAGCACCTGGACCAAGCTCTAGTCTTTTAAATAACCCAACATTGTGATTTCACAAAGTCTGACATTGTTTCCATTAATAGGGCACTGCATGACCAAACCTGATTTGATCTTGAAGTTGGAGCAAGGAGTAGAACCCTGGATGGTGGAAGAATGCTTGCATCAGAGCCTTCCAGGTCAGTCTGCACATAATGGGCAGGGAGGCCAAAGTAGAAGCAGTGCAGCAGATGTTGACTGGTGCTCTTTCCATGAATTTTTCTCAAGTCTTATTCCTGATGACATCTGGATTTGTAAATCAGGTATTCTAGAATATCTGGGGATACCAATGTCTGTCTTTTTTTTCTTGGTGAAGATATTCTTAAATTAAAAAAATATATATAATGCTTTTCTGATGTTACTAAGGGTTTTTTTCCAGGTTAGATTCATTCTACAAATTCTAACTTGTCATTCTCCACACTTTCATACCTTTTCCTTCATGCATTTATTAACTCCTTCAGTGGCTGGCAACCCTCTCTTTCATTCTCTTTGTGCCTCAATCTTTGTCTCTTTGGCTTTGAAGTAAGTTAATAAATGAGTAAATGCTAAAAGATGATCAGGAATAAGCCTCTGTGCTGTGACATCAAAAATCATAAAGCTAAGCATGAACTTGTATAGGAACATGAAAATAAGTGATCCTAGACTCACCAAGAAATTCATGAGTTTCTCAAATTCCCAAGGTCAAGTAACCTCATAGGTTCATGTTGAATGGCTCAGATTTGTTTGGGAGAAGAGTTTGAATTATGAATTCTTATTTTTCATTGTCATTGAAAAACAAGAAAATAACAAAACAGCATAGGAAATGAAGTGTTCTGTGAAAATAGGAGGCAACTAATCAAAAGCCTTGAGAAACTCAAATTATCACAGAGGAGTGTTTGTAGAAAGAATTGAGAGGAGATAACCACAGCTGGTGTTTTCAGAATTAGTTAGAAAACACTTTTCAAGTGATCTCTGAAATATAAGAGTGGGAATAAGAGAGGGAGGAGATAGTTTGGACATGCTCAATCGGACTTGCCCCAAATGGTAGAGTTAGAAATGTACCAGGATTCCAATTCAATCCCATCAAGGTGGCATGTACCAATGCCATCTCACTAGTACAAGTGATCAGTTTCAGTCCACAATTGATCATAATGAGAGGATTAAGAGTCAAAGGGATCACATAAACAAGACTAGTGCCTGCTAATACTAACTGAAAGAATTAAAAAGAAGAGAATGATCCAACATGGGAAGCGGGATACAAGGAAGGCTCAAGAATGGCAGATGTCCTAAATAGCATTATGGCCTCAGAATCAGCCCTTAAGTCATTCGGATCTGGCTGAAGAGCCCATGAGAGTATTTCAGGCATGGAAAGCCAAGACACTCTGGCAAAAAAAATGACCTAAATGAAAGATCTCTGCAAGTGAGATCCCAGTGGAAAGAATGGGCCCATCAAAGAAGGAGGTACCTTTCTCTGAAGAGAGGAAAGAACTTCCACTTTGACTATGACCTTGTCCAAACATGATCAGAGTTGGCAAACTCAAAAGGCTTCCATAACCTTGGCAACCCATGACAAGAGCCTAGGGTGATTACTGACACCATAAACAAGCATGTCAATTTGTTAAGTCAACAACAGGAGTCGCTGTGCACTTATTCCTCATGTAGGATCTCTGTCCTTAATGTGTTGCACAATGTGAATTAATGCTATAACTGGTACTCAAACAGTACTGTACACTTTGTGTTTCTGTGTGGGTGCAAACTGTTAATCTTTTTCTTAATATATACTAAATTGATCTTCTGTACATAAAGATAATTGAAAATGAATCTTGATGTGAATGGGATGGGAGAGGGAGTGGGAGATGGGAGGGTTGTGGGTAGGAGGGAAGATATGGGGGGAAAAGCCACTATAATCTAAAGGCTGTACTTTGGAAATTTATATTTATTAAATAAAAGTTAAAAAAAAATAAGAAAACACTTTTCAAAGAAAGTGAGCACCCCGTGGGTTGTAGAAACAAATTCTTTAAACTGGTATCAAGTTTCTACCCAAGATGGTATACTGTGACTTTTCTGTACCAGTAACAGATATGAGAAGCTGAAGATGTCAGATTTACTTAGGAATATGGGGAAGCTGTCATAGATTGCAGATAAAAGTTTTTCATTTGAAAAATCCTACAAATCCCAGGGAAGACTAAACATGAGGAAACATACACTCATATACTATTCCTTAAATGTGATCCTGTTTGGAATACAAACACATTTCACTCTTCACCTGAAGGTAAATGATCCAGTAAAACTTTCTCGTATTTCTGAAATATTAGAGAAGCCCAAAATACACAATTTTTCTAAATATAAACTGGAGCAAAAGCACAAGGAAAAAAATGTTTGCTAGGCAAGGGGTGAAAATTTTTGCTAAATATTTGTCTAATCTTTGAAAACTTGTGTAGTTGTTTCATCTCTGATAAAAGCAGAATGTCAATGAGTAGAGAGAGATCTTTTAACTCACTGTCTGCAAATGACTGCAACAGTTAGGTCTGACTAGTCTGATGCCAATATCCTGGAATTCTATTTAGTCTTCTCTGGTGTATCACAGGGTCCCAAACACATAAACCGTCATCTGTAGCCTCCCAGGTTACATAAGCAGAGAGTTATATTCAAAGCAGAGAGTTGTATTGGAGACAAGAGTAGTCAGGTTTCAAACTGGCATATCTGAACAGAATTCAAGTAGTGAACACAATCATGATTGAGCATTGGGAGACTATTGATACTATTCAATATATTAATGTGTTAAGGAGAAAAGCCATATAATAATCATAACTAAGTTTCTCGTATTGATTTTGTTAATATCTTATGCCAATTGAATAATAAGTAACTTGATTCCATTTACATAAGTTATCAAGGAGAAAGTTCTATGTGATTCAGTGAAGTGTTTATTTTTTTCTCATTTCAGTTGCTGTGAAAAGGGATGACCTGATTAGGACCAACCAGGAATGTCAGGACAAAAGTCTGAATCTTAATGTTATGAAAAATAACAACACATCAACTCCAAAGAGAGTTGAATTAAGAAAAACATTTAATTTATGTTCAAGCCATATTCCAAAACTAAATATCAGAAAGGGAAATTATTTAAGAATGAAACCTGAAGAATGCAATGTATGTCACAATGTGTATCCCCAAAGGGGGTCTGATCAACTACAAGCTGAAGAGAAATTTGATGCCACTAAGGTACCTGGGAACTCTCTCCAGTTCTGTGAGCCTCTTAATCAGTGTCACAAGATTCAGACTGTGAATCAGACATTTGAGCATATTGGACAAGGGAAAGCTTCACAAGGAAGATGTTCTTTAAATCTGAGAAGGTTCATAAGGGAGAAACCTGTAATAAGTCAACTATCACTGTTGGAAAGGCAACTCAAATAATAAATGCTTTCCACAAAAGCTAACCTCAGTACGTCAACAAACCCACATAAGAGAGAAATTTTATGAATATATTAGATATGTGGAACCTGTTATTTACCAATCACATCTTGCCATAAATCAGAGACCATATTAGAGAAAAAACTCATGCAGGTAAACCTTGTGAAAAATCTTTCAGTTGTGAGTCCTGCCATAACATCCATCACCGTACTCACATACAGGGAAACCCCCATATGTGTATTGAATGTGGAGAGCCACTCACCAGGAGTCAGATCTCATTAGACAACAGAAAATTCACATACAGATGAAACCTCATGAGTGTACTGATAGTAGAAAAGTCTTTTTCCCAAAACCGTACATCATAACACAACAGAGAATTCACATAGAGGAGAAACCTCATGAATATAATGACTATGGAAAAGACTTTTTGAACAAGTCCAACCTCATCAATCAGCAGAGAATTCACAAAGGGAAGAAGCATTATGAATGCAATGAATATGGAAAAGCCTTTGGTCATAAATCAAACCTCAAAATGCATCAGAGAATTCACACAGGGGAGAAACCTTATAAATGTTTTGACTGTGGAAAAGTCTTTGGCCGGAAGTCAAGCATCATAATTCATCAAAGAGTTCACACTGGGGAGAAACATGAATGTAATGTCTGTAGAAAAGCTTTTGGCCAGAAATCAAATCTCATGAGGCATCAGAGAATTCACACAGGGGAGAAACCTCATAAATGTAATGACTGTGGAAAAGCCTTTGGCCAGAAGACCAACCTAATAGTGCATCAGAGAATTCACACAGGTGAGAAACCTTATGAATGTAATGACTGTGGAAAAGCCTTTGGCCATAAGACCAACCTAATAATGCATCAGAGAATTCACACAGGGGAGAAACCTTATGAATGTAGTAACTGTGGAAAAGCCTTTGGCCATAAGACAAGCCTAATAATGCATCAGAGAATTCACACAGGTGAGAAACCTTATGAATGCAAGAACTGTGGAAAAGCCTTTGGCCAGAAGGCAAGCCTAATAATGCATCAGAGAATTCACACAGGGGAGAAACCTTATGAATGCAAGGAATGTGGAAAAGCCTTTGGCCAGAAGCACAATCACTAGACATCAGAGAATTCATACAGGGGAGAAACCTTATGAATGTAATAACTGTGGAAAAGCCTTTGGCCAGAAGGAAAGCCTAATAATGCATCAGAGAATTCACACAGGGGAAAACCTTATGAATGTAAACTGTGGAAAAGCCTTTGGCCAGAAGGCAAGCCTAATAATGCATCAGAGAATTCACACAGGGGAGAAACCTTATGAATGTAATAACTGTGGAAAAGCCTTTGGCCGGAAGGCAAGCCTAATAATGCATCAGAGAATTCACACAGGGGAAAACCTTATGAATGTAATGACTGAGGAAAAGCCTTTGGAAATTATCACAACTCAATGCATCAGAGAATTAACACAGGAGAGAAATGTCATGAATGTAATGACTGGAAAAGTCTTTTGTGAAAAATCACAACTCCTATACACCAGAAAATTCACACAGGTGAGAAACCTTATTAAGCTAATGACTATTGGAAAGGTCTTTGGCCAAAAATCAGACCTTATTGAACACCAGAGAATTCACACAGGGCAGGAGCCTTATGAATGTAATGTATGTGAAAAAGCCTTTGACAATAAGTGAGAAGAACTCAATGCACCAGAGAATTCACACAAGGAGAAACCTTATGAATGTAATGACTCAGAAACTTTTTAACTATAATTCAACCCTAACTGCACATCATCAAATCATATAGGGGAAAACCCTTTTGAATGTAATGCATGTGAAAAAGCCTTTATCTGGAAGTCACACCTCTTAAGACATCAGAAATCACATGGGGGGGGAAACCTTATGGATATAATGAGTGTTAGAAAGCTCTTTGCCAAAATCATGCCTTATAACGTCAGAGAATTTAGAGTAGAGACTTTTGAGTGTAATAAATGTAAGAGATCCTTTTGTCAGAAGTAATGCCCCATAACACATCATGGAATTCAAACAAAGGAAATAGTTTAAGAATATACTGAATGTGGAAGAGCTTTTTCCCAAAATCAATGTAACCTTTGTGACAAAGCCTTTTGTTAGAAACCATGGCCCATACAACAGGGACTCATGTAAAGGAGAAAGCTAATGAATGTTATTAGTGTGAAAAACATCATTCTTCCAAAATCAATTGTTATAATCAAAGAATTCGCACAGGGGTTTTCTTACAAGTGTAATGAATGTTGAAAAGTATTTTCCGGGAATTCATGCTTACATTGATACAGAATTCAAAAAATATGACAAAACAGTTAGCCAGAAATTAGATATCAATAGACATCAGAGAATCCATAAAGAAAAAAATAAATGTAAGGAATGTTTAAAAAAATTCATCTCCTGTTAATCTGTCTTTAGTTCACAAGAAGTGACTCAGAAATGAGATTACCATAAGTCATCTCTCAATGGTTAGCTGAGAACTCACCAAAGAGAAAATCCTTTGATTGTAATGTAATTGGAAAAACCTTTACTGTAAGGCAAACTTCTGCACTACTTAGCAAGATTACAGGGAGAAGTTTCTGAAAATGTCATGTGTTTAGAATTCTTAGATACAATCACACCTCAGCAAGTGTTAGGCAATTCACATGATGAATTGTGACTGAGACAGGTTAACCATTCTTCAGAAATTCTTTCTCTTATATAACCTGTGCTTTTAGTTTCCCATTATTGTGAGACCAAGTAAATGACCTATGCTTTCATGTATAAATTTTGCTAACAAATATTCAATGGTTGATTCAACAGTTACTTGGAATACCTTCACCAATTACAAAGTTATTGTATAGCAGTTTTACCTCCTGCCTAGGATTCTTTCCCCACATTATTGTAGTATTGTAGTACAAAGAAGTGATGTGACCATAGGCGTGTGAACTGAACTGACACATGTTCCAGCCATCATTCTGTACTCCAGCCCTGGGTGATGAGTGTTGTGTCCAGTATAGGGAATGAGCCTGTGGTCACCTGTATACTCATGTGAACTTTCAAGTTATCTGTGTGCATGTCTGGATTAGACTATACTGCCTGAGGTCTGTTTGAATATTCAGGTAGGACTTTTTGCACACATCACCTTCACTATATAATGGGACTATCTCAAATCCTATAAATTGCTCTTTGTCTCCTAAATTTTCTTGGATTACTGAGTTGCAATCCATTTTAAAATATTTCACTTACAATCCCCTATTTTATACTTTTCTTCCTTTAATTTCTTGCACAGAAACAATAATTTGGGTAGTATTACTTTGTACTGCTAAAAGTGACCCTCATTTTTATTGAAAATGTGTGTTTTCATCCTTTTCCAAAGGCAAAAGGAGGCTTATACTCAAAATGAAAATCAATGTCATCATGAAGGCAAAGATGAAAGTCATCTAATCATAAAGACAGAGGCTACCAGAAGCTGAAGTTGGCAATGAAGAGATTATTCTGTAGATACTGGCTGGAGCACAGACCTCACTCCCTGCATTGCATTTTGAGCCAGAGAGAGTGATTTCACTTTTATCCTTCAAAGAGTGACAGTATACATTTTACTTTTTTTAAGTCATTAAGCTTGTGATAATTTTTGACAGTAACAATAGGTAACCAGATTCTCTTACTACTAACCTGGAAGTGACTGAAATTTCATGAAACGTGAGCACAATCTAGTGGTAGAAGTATAAAAACTGATCATATCTGGGAAAACTGACAAAAACTTGCTAGTAGGGTCAACGGATGGATCAATTAGCTCCCTGATCCACATCTAATTATTTCCTTATAATTATCATTGTTGGAATATAAATAATGCAGTATGCCTCTAGAAGCCATTCTTCTTATGGATGGAATATAATTCTTTTGGTTTATTTGTTTTGTGTCATTTTTGCTTTTCCAATGTTTTTAATCACTGATGCCTCAATAAATTCTTTTTTTCTAAAGTTAAATGTGATATATTTTATTTAGAAATAATACTCAGGGACCTGCGAGGACAGTTATTGTCAGAAATCCACTAATTTCTTTGAATTTTGTTTTGGTGTTAATTTCCAACATGTGTTATGAGTTCTATTGAAAGAGACACTGGTTAGTTTGCTGACTGATGATGCCATAATTTCTTATGACAAGTAATTGTACATTTTCTGGCTGGGAGTCTTGCTTTCCTCTATAATTAAGGAGTCTATTTCTCTATGGGCTTTGTTTGATTATCTATGACTTGATCAGGGTGGGGGATATTTTGACCTGCTTGTATTTATTGCCATCTTAATTTTGTTTTCCTTCAAAACAAGGCTGAGACAGGAGCATATATGAGGGTCTTATATGGGACTTGATGCCAGATGAAGAGTGAGGGCATAGAAAATATGAGAAGGGGAAGCAAGTTCACAGAAGAAAATGCTGGTGAATTGGTAGCTAATGTGAGCCAGCTGGTATCCATATCAATTGTAACTGTATCCAGCCAAGAATTTGCTATCAACTGATGTCCTAAGATTTGGAGTCTGATGCCATTGTGAATTGCTGGATATTGTCTGTGAACTTTTTATAGCTCTGTTAACTTTAGTGAGCTTTAAGAGAGCCTGGCATAGTCAATCTAGATGAATGAAAGATCTTTGTAGATTTGTTATAGCAAAAAGTTCCTGGTGATGAAGAACAGGTCATATGGGGCCACTTAATAGAAACACAGTTAGCCACAATACTGAAGGAATGAAATGTTGTGAACAAGTATTATATTATGGATTCAAGTTTAAAATTAGTTGATTTGGAGAAAGATCTTTGGTGCAGTGCTTAATAAAGCACTTGGGATGTCTGAATACCTAGATTTGAGTCCAGCTTCATTTCTGATTCTAGTTGCCTGATACTACACATATTTGGATGTTGCCATTCAAATTGGAAGACCAAATTGAGTTCTAACATCCTGGCTTTAAGCTGTGC